AAAAAATCAAAAGGCGTACTGTTGTAAAACCCTCGAGTAGTCTCCAAAGGCTGCTAGGATTGCGTGTGTTGCATAAACCTGCATAGCAGCAGTGAAAATAAAAAGTGCAGCAGAGCAAGCACGTTATAAAAACAAAAAACAAGCAGCATAGAATGTCTGGTTTGTAAGAAGCAAAACTGTCCGCCAGAATAAAAGCAGTTTGTGTTTTACTTCGTCCGAGGCGACGCCTCGGGTCTCACCTGCCTGCTTTTGCAGCGGGAGGCCGTAAATTAAACGACCGCTGTATTCTACCGAGACTAGATTGTTACGAGATCTTAGGAGTCATTGGCCGTGCGGTTAGTGTCGGAATTCGCATTGCCATTAAATGCAGCCAAGCAAGCTGTTTTTGCTTCATGCGCCACTGGTTAGACATCACGCGAGAAATAATTGCAACTAGCTACAGCAGTAATGAACACATATGGACAAAATATCAAAAAAATATATGACAACGAGAGCGTGGTTGAAAAGAGTATATTCTCCCTTTTTCCCTTTTGGGTAATCGAAGAACAAAATTTATCATTTGGGAGAAGTATACTATTCTTAAGTTGAAGCGTTCCACCATAGGTGCGTCTTGTGAGACAGGCCAAACTTGAGTTGACTGATAACTCTCTCTCTCTCTCACTTTCTTACTGTTTATTGGATGTTTAAACTTTTGTCCATCTAGCCTCCCGTTTGTTATCTAAAATGCCTGATGAGGAATAATCGAGAACGTACGCTCGTCAAACTTGACTTCTTGAATGCTTGCATGGGTATCCTCGTTGAAATATTGACGCATTTCTTAATTACTGTACTATCAATAGGGAGCTCAAAGCTATTTTCCTATCTTTCTCCTAATAAAACTAAACCAAACTGAACTTATGTATAACTCATACTTAGCAATAATCACTCAAATACTGTAAATTACATTAAAATGCTCAAATAACGTTTTTTATAGGGTAAACCTTACCAATCCCACAAATGCAAGTCGTTAAATGGTAGCAATTATGATTAAAACAATTTAAATCCTTTTAAAGCTGTTTATTATCTCACAAGCGTTAGTGGAAAGTGCTGCGCAACTGACTTGCGCGTCAGTGCGTCCTGAACGTTTTTGTTCACAGTTGACTAGTCAAGCGGGGTTTGCAGACAAAAGCCCTACTGTGACCGAATCCGAGGTGCATTATGGGAAAAAAGCAACAGGAACGCATAAAAAGGCAAAGACTTTTGTGCTGATAATTCGTTTCTATACCAGTACGTTACACAAATTCGATGAGAGGGTTGTCCTACTGAAAAACGGTTTTTTCATAACAAGAATATCAGGACAACTACCAGTATACTTGTTGCTACTGAGGGCTTCGACGATGTTATCGGGGGAAGGCATATTATAAGGACCTGCCACTGTGCTTATTTCCAATGATAAACCAAGTGAAATTGGACTGACGATTAAAGATACGTGACATTATCAAATATCCGAATTGAAGTGTGACTACTGCTGCGGTCTACAATAACTTCGAAAAGGTTGAAGGTTTGAATGGGTTTTAATACATTGTATCTGGTTATTTTAAGGTCGAAATAGGCATCCGTGACGAAGCAAAATGAACAGATTTGCGCACATACGTTAACATAGTATTTCAGAATGTTCATAGATGTAGCACATATAATATTTCCTCCTCATAAAGATAAATTTAACTCCTCATCCAACTTATTGGGCCCAAAAGGAAGCAATAAGAAGAATAGAAATAATATAAAATGTGAAAGGAGAGTTTGCTAAACCTTGTATGCTACTTAACTACCGCAAGCGATGGTTAGTTTCACAACAACAAATAAGACCTCATAAGCACCTTGGAAGTGCACCCTAATACAGTATTTGCAGAAATATTTCATAGGATGGTAAAATTGTGTCTTTCAGTTCGCAGTAGGGTAGGCCAATTGCGAAAGTAAAAACATTTTCTGGAGTCCTCTGCGCAACTCTTCGTCAACGGACAACGCAAGTGGTATGGAGGAAAAACCTAACCCCCGGAATTATGCATCCTCAAAGTGAACTTAAAGGCAAAAGGTTTCGTCGCCGTTCGGCTTTAAACATGACACCAACTTAAACATCGTTAAAATACCACGGAAGCAGGCAGTTTTGCGTTAGGGGAATAAAAAGACAAAGTTCATAGACATGGACTGCGTACCCTCACGGACAACAAGGACGGAGGCAATCGCATCGGGAACGCTGGATCCTGCAGCAATGAATGTAAGGCCCATGATTGTGTCAGGGATGCCAAACGTTAATCCTAAAACAAGAAATAGAAAGGTGGAGTTTATTTCGCAGTTGCAAAATCTCGGTACACTAAAATTATCGGAAATAGGTACTCGAACGCAGGAATCTTCTTCACTGGTCTTATACATATACAGTACAGCCTGGAATTCGTGTAACATGCTCACATATGCGAAATATTGATACTCTTTCACTAATCGTCATTGAGTAAGGTTGTAATACTGATTATCGTGTAGCATACTCTCAAGTCATTTCATTCACGATAGGATGGCGGCTTTTTAACGCGCTAACAACAGTACAGTTCTGCGAGTGCTGCAAGCAAATTTCCTAAATTTGTAAACGTTTGATTATT